CAAAAGCAAATGACATTATAATCCTCAGCAAAGTTTGGACAACACTGACATAGATGGATGTATAGAGCTATAGAGAGAGATAATGTCGATGGTTGATAGTAAGTCCTCTGCCCTTTTATCATTTGTCTATTGTTCATGTCTCTCCCTGCTTTTGCCTGCCTTTTATCTCATTTTTGCCAGGTAACTGTTTTTGATGTTTGCTAATGTTTAATAAACATAATCAAACATCATTTTTGCTAGCTGAACTGAGTGGTGCATGTGCACTTGCTCTAATCTGAATGTAGGGATTGACTGGGAATGTGCTGGGTGCAAAGTAAACTGGAAATTATGTATAGGAATTTTCCAACCCACAAAAAAAGAGTGGCTTGAAGTTTGTCAGAGTGAGACTGCTGACCATTGCTGGCCTGGCAGGCTTTGGTTCCACAGCTTCTCTTTTCTTAATCAGTGTGGACAACCTTTCTTCTTTCTTCAGGGCAGAATAGCTCATTGAAGAAAGCATACAAGAGATTAATGATTCTTTGGGAAAAAACAACTATACAAGTAGCTGACACACTCTGTTTTTTGTATATTAAAACTTCTCACTGTTTTAAATCCTCTCACTAAAAGGTGATCAGTGGGAAAAAATCTGATAGAATTAATTCAGAATAAGGTAGAAGTTTTAAAAAGATTTAATAATCATTGTAACCATGGGGGGGGGGAGTTGAAACATCTGTACCAGAACTGTGAAAAGGAGAGCATCTAAACGAGAACTGTGCAGAACTACAGTGTGCATTCTCTTTCCTTCTGCTTGTGAGTATTAGGTAGTCATGCATTTTGATAGGTTGAATTTAACTAAGTATTTGAATTCCTGTGAAGGCATTGCTAGCTTGGCTGAGTTCAGCAGCCTATCATATGCAACATCACCTTGAGGAATATCATAAGTTGGGAAACCAGCATCTGACAAACCCTCTGGAATGAATTCCTCCTGATATCCATGTGGCTTCCACAATTATAGCACTCTGGAAAACCCTGAAGACCTGCATGTTCTCCCAAACCTTGAGTTTGGGTGGTTGGGACTCCTGGCAGATATATTTGGGGGTGCAGGTATTGTTAGTTGGACTTGCCATCTAAACTTGTTATTTATTCCATTTCTTATTCCATTCTTTTTTTTCCCTAATTTTATTATATTGTATTTTCTCTTTTGTTTGGTTTTATTGCACATTGCACAGTCAGGCGCCAAAATTGAATAAATTTAATTAATTAAAATGAGACTAAAGTTAAATGTGAAGAAGATCAGACTAACACCAGGTACAGCAGACAGTCTTTGAATCATATTAAAGTGATGGATAGCTTCTGTCCTTTAGGATTAACTATCCACAGTATAAGAACCACTGTCAAGAAATATACCACAGGCTAGCATTTGGTAGGGTAGCAGTGAGGGCCTTGAAAAAGATATTCATCTGCCATGACATGTTTATACCTACAAACACCAGAATCATCGAAGCAATGGTTTTGCCTATGAGACTGTATGGGAGTGAAAGTTGAACTTTGAAGAAGCAGGATAGAAACAGTATTGATGCTTTTGATCTTTGGTATTGGGGAAAGCTCCTGAGAAAACTGGATAGCCAAATTATCATATTCTAGACACATATTGTGAAGACCTAACTCTCCAAAGAAGCATATAATGCTGGACAAAAAGGAAAAAAAAGAGAAGACAACCAGGAGTGAGGTGGTTGGGCTCAACTGGGGCAGTTATGGGTGCTCCATTGGAAGACCTGAAGGACCAGGTTGAGGATAGATCCTCTTGAAAAAGGTCTATCTATGTGGTTGCCAGGAGTCAGCACTGACTTAATGGCACATCCTCAAGCAATCCATCATTTAATGCCACCATTATCAAAAAGACATAACCCTGCTGATTTAATTCATTTAATTCATAAATATTCATAAAATATTTATTCCACCTTAGCTATTTGACTCTGGGTGGTTAATAGGAAAAATAATCCATAAATGAAAACTCAGCCTTCTTGAACCAGCTCAAAAAATAACTGGTTACCATCAAATAAAATGCCCGTTTAAAAAGGAGAAACTTCAGTTTTCTGCAATGATGTATAATGTAACACAGTTTATTTATTTATTTATTAAATTTCTAGTAACATACATTACATATATATTCCCTTGAATATATAAGTAAAAAATCAAATAGTTGTTCATTTTCATAATTATAACTGCATTCATACATGACCCATTCTTAGTATGCCATTTAGGGATTAGTATTGGCCAAAAGCAAATGACATTATAATCCTCAGCATTTCAGGGAATGTGAAATCAAAGTGGACCAACTCAACCTGCCATACAGGGAAAAATCTCTATTTTTAATATAATCAAGCCAAATGAATAGCAGCACTACAGCTATTTGATTTTTTACTTATATATTCAAGGGAAGAGAAAAGTTTATCAGTGACTGAAAATTTGGAAGATAATTTGTTTAAGGAGCCAGCATCAAGGGCCATTTGCAAGTATTACTGTAATTCTGTCAAGTTAATTCGTCCTTTTCAGGTTGACTTGTTCTTGCCAGTTTTCTGTTGCACAGAAGTTACTTCTTTCTGTAGGCAAAATGAGCTTTCTGCAGGATTGCAATTTACCAAAACGTTTGCAAGGGAGGAATTTGCATAATCTTCCCTGTGAATTTTTATAGGGTGTTCTGAAGATTTTCTTTGGGTCACCCATCTGCCAGAAAGTATAAAATCTCTATTTCCACTTCAACATTGGTTATTAATTTAGCAACTGATGAATTTTGAGCATGTTCAATTTTATATTAAAAACAACAAGAATAACAACAACCCAAACAAAGTCCTGTAGGGCCAGTAGCATGAATCTGAGGCAGGAGAATAAAAAGATCCATCACAGTCTACAACCTTTTCAGCTTCCTGCAGGCAGTTACACATTAAATGCAATTGTCTGCAGGGAGAAAAGCCTTAGTGTGTCCGCTGGACATGCACTGACTTCCCTATGAGCAGGATTCTGACAGTGCAGCAAATATGAGATGCAAATCAGACTGCACAGTTCTGGAAGATAAATAGCAGCCATCTGCAACTGGAGACATTCTAACACAATTTGCAACTGCTGTGGAATATCCAGGGATGAAACTGGGTAGGCAGTGCCAAATTTGTACATCAGTGTTTCTCAATCTTGGCAACATTAAGATGTGTGGACTTTATCTCCCAGAATTCCCCAGCCAGCTGCTGGGTAGGTAATTCTGGGAACTGAAGTCCACACATCTTAAATTTGCCAGGTTTGAGAAACCCTGATGTACATTTTTGGATAGTATTAGAATCAGCTCCTATCTGTAGTCTTCAGAAACTGTCCCAAAAAATAGAGCAAGTCTGACTGCAAACATTATGTAAAAGGAAAGTCCCCAAGACTCTTTCCAAAATAATCCACCTGCATGTGAGGCAGAGCCACACATAAATTTCATACCCCACTCTCTGTTGTGGCCTTTGGTCCTCCAAAATAAGTAAGTGCAATGTGATCTTGGCCAATAAAAGATAATCTGTATCTTGATTGCAAAAATGATTCGGAGCATTTGAAACTGTGACTGCAAAACAGGTAAAATACCAAAAGTGTTTTCTGGGTTTTATTTCCATTGTTTCCTCGTATTCCACAAAGAAAATTAATTTATTTAGATTTATATGGCCACCTCTCTCACCAAAGTGACTCTGGGCAGTGAACATGTTTAAAGATTAAAAACAATACTACAAACACATGTAGAAACACACAACATATAATCCCCAAAAACAGAAATGGCAGGCAACTGAGAACAAAAAACCCCAAAATAATGTAAGCCACCTGAGCTTCACTTTAAATGCAAGGTGTATTTTTTTCTCCGTTTTTATGAAAGCCATACAGGTAGTCCTCCTTTAGCGACCACATTGGGACCAGCAACTCAGTCGTTAAGCAAAGTGGTCGTAAGTGAAACCACAAATGTGCTTATAATCTTCAGATTTCATTTGCTTTACAGATCTGCAAAAGTCATAAATGTAAGGACTGGTCATAAAGTTATTTTTTCATCACCATCGTAACTGCAAACAATTGCTAAACGAGGCAGTCACTAAACGAGGACTACCTGTATTTTAACTTGGATGAAGAAGCACAAGCTCTTGCTGTAGCAGCTGGTGCTATTGAAATCTAATGTTGGACAGCTAATGTACTGTACTGTTCTGAAGGCCAAATGGGGCTGAAATGACCTGGATTTAAATCCTCATTTGCCACAAAATTCACTGAGTCTGAGTTGGCCATTACTTATCAGCTTGACTTAAGTCGCAAAGCAGCTGTGAAACCTATGTGAATACTGAACACGCAGCTAAAAAAAACCCCTTTCTCACTTTAGTTTTGGTAGTATTTATCTCGGAGTATATGTGTGTGTGTACATACACATACATACATACACACACACACACATATATTCATAATACCAAAGGGAAAAAAATTAGAAGCAGGGGCATCCATGTCAGGGGAGGAGATTAAAAAAAAAAAAGATGTCAGGCACAACCATGCAATCAAAGCCCGATTCCTTTTTAATATGCATCATCCCTGCCATCTTGACTTTTGTGATTCCCCTCAGAGGATGCTGCTAAATAAAATATCATGACTACATATTCCATATAAGCAAGACCTTTATTAGGCCACAACCTCACCGGCAGGCTTGTGGGTTTCCAGAATTCTTCATCAGGCAAAGTGTGTGAGAAGGGGAGGGAGAGGGGTTGATGCTAAAGCCATGGAGTCTGCATGAAGTTTGTGGAAGAAGATGGCCAACAGATAAATTAAGCTTAATCAGGTATTAGGGTAGTTTCACTTAGTGCCTTGGGCTTGCCCAAGAACTGCTGGCATGGAGAATCAATGAGCTCTCATTTGAAAAATATATAATCCATCTGTTACTTGAAATACTCTTCCAATTTTAGGCAAAATATACAGTGTTTTTTTTTTCAGATTAACTTTATGTACAGAATACGGCTACACTCTCATTTGAATGCTCTTTCTGTTAGTCTATATACTGTTATGAAATTCTTCCTTTGTCAAATTGTTTCAGATGTACTAACCTTAATCTTAATAACTAGAATATAGAAAAGGCTAATGTAGACACATTTAGTGAAATATCAAGTGAAAAAAGCATTTTATTCTTATGAGAGATTCAAGAGGAAATGTCAATATAATATTTGAATGTTTCAGTTATGTAGATCCATATGTGCATTATATTTATTTTTGGGAGGCTTCTTTCAGTCCAGTAAATTTAAAATATCTCTTTGTAATTAGTCTTCCTATGTCAAGAAAATCAAAGAATTAGAAACATACCAAGAACAATTCCTGTCAAATCAAAAGGGCAAAAAATATTCCAAGAACTAATAAAGACTCTCAATTACATCTTCAGCTGAGTTTCATCCAATTTCTTTGTTCATACTCCAATCCGGTTAGTAAGATGGGCAAGCTCCGGGTCCCATCGGCTAAGGAATGCTGGTTGGTGGAGCCTAGAAGACATACCTTTTCTGCCGTAGCACCCACCCTATGGAACATTCTTCCTCCAGAGATCAGAATGGCCCCAACCCTGCTGGCTTTCTATAAGTCTGTTTCTGTGTCCGGACCTTGGGCCCCAAGTGTGTGCAAGGACCCATTTCTTGGTTATGTTCATTATTAGGGTGTATGATTTATTCTCAGCTGCTAATCATTTAAAACAAATCTTTTTTTATTTTTTTAATCTTTGTATTACTGTAATTGTTTTTATTTTATGTTTAATTTTGTTTGCCATCCAGAGTCACTTGTTGAGTTGGGCAGCCATGCAAATTGAATAAATAAATAAATACATTTACTCATTGCACTTAATCAAAGTTTGGAACATAGAGCTGGGAAGAGGATCTGGGCATCAGCTTTGAGGAACCTCAATTTATGCCTCACCCAAACTTGAACCTGGGATTAAGTTTAACTGTTGATTGTTTAAAAAAGACAGCTCCAGTAACTATTGCTTGTAATTGGTTGGTCTGAATCTAATCCTAAAGTTAACCATAGCTGTTGGTCTAGAGAGATAATGAACTATGATTAACAGAAGCAAAAATGAAAACTTGGGTATATGGAAGTAAATAAAGCTTACAAGCCCAGGACTTGATTTGATTTGTTCAAGTCATGCTAAATTAAGGTTAGCATGAAGTGTCACCTGAGCACAGAATCATATATGGAATTTAGAAACTTCAGCCATTTGAAATTTGATCAAAATATTTTTATTGCTTGTTCCATCATTAATCTCATCCTTCTTTGTTTAAGCAAATACCATGGGCTTTTGCAGAAGAAGCAAGCAAATATGAATGGGTTTTTCCCATTATTCTTTTATACTTGTTCTCTAATCTTCCCAGCAGTTACAATTCTCTTTTTGAACAGATGGCTCTCATGATACAGATAAGAAGGTTATTCCCTGAAAAGAAAACATTTCATTTCTTATGCTGTATCAGAAGGAAACAACTTTAATAACTCACTTTATACAAAGAGAACATTTGGATTCTTGATGGCAGATGCTTCTACTGTGCCCAGCAGCAGTTTAAATGAAATATCATTAATGATAATGCTGTGGCATTTCATAAATCAGTCAAGAAGAAAACAAATATTCTGCAATGGGGAAATAGAAAGGCATAGTCTCTAAGGAGATATGTATTCCCTGTTGGGTTTATAAGATCAATCTCTTATTTATTGAATCTTCTATTTACACCATTTATATTGGCTGCCCAACAACATATTTCTCACAAAGATAATGCTCAAAGAAAAGAGAATTTTAAGTGCTGCACTTCTGCCATCAAAGTGATACTGCGATAACAGAGGTTTTGTAAATATCAGCATGGGGAAAAAGTGAGGCATCTGTTGTTACAAGTTACAGTACATACCAACGGCAGAAGAAGAATGAGGTTAAGTCACGCTTGCTCAACATCAACAGTATATTGCATTAGTTTTGTCCATGCATGGCAAAAACCATACCTTTTAAAATTTTATCACAATGACATGACAAGACTGTCGTTATAGTCATATATCATAAGCATTTGCAAGCCATCAGTCCACCATCTTGTAAATCTATCCATACCTGTTTGTATTTAAGGAGTGCCCAAGCTGAGAGCCAGGGTTATTAAAGCTGGAGTTAATCAGGTTGTTCTAGTCTATGAATGCATTTGGAAACTATGCCTTTTCCTAGGAAAATGTGTTTATTCTTTTTCAGATAGACGCCTCATTTAAGGCAGTGATTTGTCTTAGGCAACGTGCTAAAGCTTATGCAATTAATCTGATGCTTAAATTATCTAAATAATTGCAACAGAATTAGCAGAAAAACATGTAGAAAATGGTCCGGAGGTCACAATACATGAGCAAAATACAAGCAGCAAGTTCAAAGGATTAAGCAACAAGGCATGGTCTCAGCAGTAAGAAGAAGCAAGTTAAAAATGTAGGTTTGTGTCTCAGAGGATACAAGGCATGGTTGTTGCTGATGTTTCTGTGGTACGTAACTACTTAGGAGGAGCTCCTGAATACAAAACACAAACATTTCCATGATGCATTGCTTTGAAGTCTGGCTATGGTCTGATCATTTCTTTGTCACCCTGAATCACATATACCCTGGGGTTTCAGAGGGTGCTAAGAGTCTTTCCCAACAATTAGATGGGCTGTTGAACCTCACATCTG